GAATTGTTGCTGAAAAGAACGTTCGCGAATGCAATGAAAAGAACATCATGACAGAGTTAAAGACAGCGTTTCATGAGTGCCTGAGGCCAAAATGAAACTCAAACTCATGTCATGTTCGACACTGAAATCGAAGTACGAGTCAGCTTTTAAAAATGATGCAAAGCTGAAGCCGAGATGAAAAGTTCCAAATAGCAAGAAGCCGAAGCCAGCAGTGAAGAATGGCACAAATCTTAAGCCAAAGCCAAAGCCGAAGCTCAAGCCAAAGCCGGCCTCGCTCAGGTGCCTGAGCAGAATGGGTATGCTTTGCATTTAGTGCTCGTAACTGATCCATAGTAACAACACAAAGACTTGTGTTGTTGGATTAAGGGGAATGTTTCACATTTGATTGAAGATATTGAAGCAAGCATCACATATGATGAAACAAGCTCACTTTTAACTTTTGGTATACTTCTCTAAGTAAAAAGACTGCTCCAGATATCACAATTCTCTGTTGAGTAAATATGCTCCCCAATGCGGTATGGTTTGATTACATTGACATACCATGCACAACACTGATTGAGAGCTAGTTGACGGACGTTATAACTGGCAATTGCGCTCACGAACACCAGATATGAACGCCCCGACGATTGTTTTTTTTGCCTTAATTGCCGCCCGGCTTAAGGAATGGCAGGGTTTGAATGACGTTACGACGTCATGAATGCCAAAGTGCACTTAAATGCTTTCCCCCAAATAGTTTTCCCAGCTCCGTGGCGGCGTGGCTCAGAAACTACAAGGACTTAGATCTTAACGACAGTGTTGTGAACAACACCGAAAGGTTTTCAAAATGGCTAATTCAGTTTGAAACCCCATATCAATGGGGAACACTCACTTTAAGCTAGAGGTATTTAAACGCCGCCGAATAGCCAAAAATAAGAAAAAGTGTTTTTTTTTACATGTAGGAACTTGTCATCTGTAAGTTGAGCATAATTACCAAAGTAAAGCCGGAAGAGAACTGAGGGCTCCAATGCTAGACAGTCTTGCGTTCGGCCCAGAGCTGCGAATGTGCTTTGTATGGGAGAGGTTTGCCTGACGTGGTGAATGGGGCTTACTGGCGAGAACTTCACCGGCTATAATGCAGACAACAACGACGCGACGTCGTAACAGTGGATGAAATCGCCACCCATGTAACTAGATGATGTCATGTGTCGCTCTTGAGGGTCCGGTAACATCCTGCAACATGGTTGGACACCTCTTCGGCAAAATCGTTCAGCGCACTTAGAGCTTCGAATATGTGATGGGGTCTGCAACAGCAAGCCTTGTATATTTCAAGCTCGGATCACAACGCTAATTACTTACGGGAAACTACTTTAAGTTTCTAACACGCATGACAGCCATCTCTGAAACGCGGGACTGTAAGTTGCGGCAGCCGCCACTCTAAACCAGGTGCCACCAATGGGAGAAGGAGTAATTCCCCAAGAAGAGAGCACGACGGACTCAGGGGGGCACTGCCACGTGGCCAAAGCACGCCTGATCCAGGCAAAACCATCCGGGCAGCGTCAACGGGCAGACGCGGACTGAAAGGTGATGTTGCCATAACATTGCCATGCACCACATGCACTGAGCTGGACATGTCTGCTATAGAAGCGAAAAAAAACAAAAAAGCAAAAAAGGGCCCTTTTTGCAAGCGACATGAAGCGTTTAGGCACCAGTAAAACACTGAGTGTGCAATTATGTGATCTGATTTGTGTAGCCCGACCACAGTCTATATCGACTTGTCATGCTGGATGATACTAATCGAAATTTTTCCATACCGATACCGACGTGCATATGAGCAACGTGTTCAAAGATTGCCCATTTTGGTTCTGAGACCAAAAACACGACCGATTTCTGAACTGTTTTTGAAAAAAATTGGAGGCGCTGTAACAAGCTATATTTTATACCCATCAAACTCTGTCGTCTTTAATTGCACTTTAAAGCTGTTTTTGAAGTGTGAAAATACATTGGTGAGGATCTAAAAAGATATCTTCTATTATGCGGGGAAGAAAATAATACGTGGCCCTGATACTCACCCTAAATACAAAGAAAGGGTTTGTTGGTGTCATTTGCTACTTGTCACACACTCATTGTCAAGGATTGCCTGGGCAGTGTTGCATATAGCAAATGAAGATGGTGATTTCTGTCACGATAAAGTAGTAAACCCAATGCTATTTACCAAAAGCAACAACAGAACCTACAACGCAGTGAGGTTTTTAGTACGGGAGTGTATATATAGGCTTGGAATGCTTTGGTGAAACATATATGCGCCATATCCATACTTCATGACGTACACAGCACGTGCATCTTCACCAAGTTCGCAAATTTTATTTATTCAGAAAAGAAAACGAGTACACTCAGATGCATGCTGCTTCCACAGTACGTGTTCATGCCAGGGAAGGCCATGGCTGCTCATGACCAAAGTCGGTACCCAACAAAAAAGGATACGAAAAAAAAATTGATAGCTGTGGAAAGAACAAAGCGGAATGCTCGAGGTCACTAGTCGCCAAGTTTATTTATCACTCTTGAGTTTGTAAAAGCCTGTCGGCGACACTTTTTGAGGTCCCTATGTTCTTCGACGACAGAGTTAACCTGCAGGAGTCTTTTGTATGCTGCATTTGCAAGAAATGCACCATGATCGCATGAGCCGCATTTTGGGAGCCTAAAGCCTCCAGAGCCTTATATTTTGCCGATGCTTTGTGAAGGGAAATGTGAATTATGGATACAATGAGGTGACAGATGTTGAAGTTAATACCGGTTGGCCACTTTGAGTGGGCTAATCGGGCGAAATACGCGGCAATTTGATAACATACTTGCGAAAATAACGATAAAGAAGGAGATAAATTCCCGAAAAGTGTGCTGCAGCACTGCATGTGAAAGTCCATCGGGGGATTGTTGATTACTGAAACTAAAATATTTCTTGTAAAAAGAGGATGTGTACCGTTAATCCAGTCCATCTTCTCACCATTCTGTTTTCCGGGGGCTAATTGGATCACTCTACGTTGTTGTAGTAGCTTAAGTGTTCGCGGTAGGGCTTATTTCGAAAGCGGCGCTTTGATGTTTGTGCAATGATTGCCCGCCCGGGGGATGGATAAAAACATGCAGGTGAAACGTCGAGTTAGGTAGGCATGCTGGAAGTTTGCGTGGTTACGCACAGGTTTATGTGTTTTAATTTGTTCAACCAGCTACAACTGCACGGGGACTCCAGGAGCCTGGCCGCGTTCATGACATGTAACGGTCGTAAGATGTTCAAGAGGTGTTTTTCGGACTGTGACGCATTCCCGCATGCTTCCAAAACGTCATGGGGAGGATTCAGCTCAGCCTGGAAGGAATTCAAGTGCGCACGGATGATGTTATGATGCTTGGTAGGGACCTTAAGCACCATGAATCCCGCCTACCGCTGTGCCCGACAGGCTGGGGGCACATGCATAACTGAACCACAAGAAGTGCAAGTCCAAGATGGGCTCGTGGGACTCCCTAGTATTTACAGTGAGTGCCGCAGGCATCTTGATTGGCAAGGAGAGGACGAAGAGCCTGGGAGACATGTGATCACCAGCATAACGGAAGGACCAGCAGGCGGCGTTGAGACCGTTTGGATTCTAAGCCAGGTGTATGAATGGCTTCGTGAACATGGTGGAGCCGTTCAGAACAGTGTTGGGAAATGAGCTCCAGACAGGTCTGATTACACAGAGGAGCCGGAAAAAGCGTTCAGAGCAGTGGTGAGTGCCATCACGGAGAGCTCGGCACTTGTATAACCCAGCCCTACCAACAGTAGTGGCCCGTGACGCTTCAGACGTTGGTTTGAAGTCAAGAACATTCGGGAGGGAGGGGATAGTGGCATCTGCGGTCTTGAGTGAGAAACATCCGGAATGGAAGAGGTCAGGAGCTCTTACTGTAGTAGCGGGACGGACTTTTTTGCCACAAAAGGTTTTCGGCAGTTGGTTTTAGTCGGTAAAAATTGGCACGAAGACTGTTGTAGTCAGTGTCTACCAACCGAAGCACACTGGAGCGTTGTTAAAAATCACAATCATCTTCGTCCCAAACCCTGGTACACTAGCCATGAAACTTGTGCTTCTTTTCCTTTCGGGATCGTCTTCTTCCCAACCAAATACAGTCTTCATACTCGGCGTCTTAGACAGAGAAGCATACCAGGCGGGTAAGCCAGGTGCATGAGCCATGCTACTCACACTTACGTCGACGCGCAGACAATGGAGCTGTTAACGCGGCCATTCTGTCAGTTGTTGCTGCAGCCCGTGCGGCGTAACTCGAAACAGGCCAGAGAAAAAAGGCGACATATGTAAATCTACTATGCAACGCCCGTTGCATGTGTAAAGCCATATTTCGTTAGATTGCTCAGTCACCGTACTTCCGACATTCACTCGTGCTGACTGGATATCATGTCACTTGCTAATTTTCTTGTAGCACTGTGCCCTGCTGGTGGACGTGTTGCAATAGCCACTCGGCCGTTGACCTGGTTGACATTAAGTCTTATTTCATCTGTTAGCTCGAATGATTCACTATCTTGCGTCAACTTCTGGGCGGCCTGCTGCGGTGTGTAATTGACCGAAGGCCCATTTTACTTGCTGTGGTTCGTCAGCTGCTGATTGATCCACGCCATTAGCATGTGATACCCACTGGTTGATTTGGTGTTCTCTGCCTGTTGACTGCATTGCTCCAGTGCCACGTGTTTCCTTCCGGCTGCCTTACTACCGCGCGCCAAGTACTGGTTGACCTGCTGCCGTTTGTCATCCGTTGGCTAGCCGGCATCAGTGTCATGTGCGCTCCGCTGGGTGTCGTGTCGCAGTGCGGCATCGGCTAATCGGCATGCTGCAGCGCGACACCTACTCCTTGATTTGTTGCCGCGTCCCACCTGCTGGCTGACTTGTGTTGTCATGTGTCACCAACCGGCTGAATTGTTGCCGGGTGTCACCTACTGTCTGACTCGTTACCATGTGCTACCTGTTGGCTTGCTTGCTGCTGTGTGTTACCTGCTGGTTGAGGTCACCGAGTCGGAGCACGACGCCGGCCACGCCGCTGTACAGCGCCAGCAGTGGCGCCGGCGGTGGGGACACCCTGGTCACCAGGTTGGCCGCCAGCACCGCCGCCAGACACGAGACCACGCTGAGCGACAGACTTCCGCCCGCGAACGACACTGCGGCAGGCACAAGCTCGGTGATCTCTAAATAAATCATCCAGACCATGCATACTTATATCGATGACATGTTTGGGGCATTATTTATGCGCTACAGGTAATTCTGAAAGTGAGGTAGTTTGTAAACTTCATTGTCATTTAGATGGTTATGAAATGCTTGGAAGTTTACGAACCATATCACGTTTTAAAAGGGTCATGAGCTGCCCAGATATGCCAGACACTGATCGATGCTCTGCAAATCCTGTAGCAATGTGCAATTCAATGTTTTTTTAATCGTCACTGTTATTACACATTAGACGCCCGGAAATCGCTCCACACCTAGATATGCCACCACCAGCAATGCGCCTGCTGTCCCCAAGTCTGCGATAAGGCGACGGGTGTTTCGCTGTCGTCCGCCAGCACATTTTACACTGCAACCGAATTTTTGTGGTCCATTGGGCTTTGGCCCTATCGCTTCGCCCACGTGGGTCTGATTTGTTCTCGGTCGCAGCCCATCAACGACGGAGGCCATCAGCGACGGAGAACGGTCTCCACCGGACTCTCGCCGGCTCATCTTGTAACAAGGCCCATGCGGGAAGCGAACTATGTTCACTTCAGACCAACTACTTTACAAGTGTAATCCATACTCTTGCAATCAATTTCAGTTTGGAAGTGTAGGATGACGAGCGCCGCCTCCAGTCCACTTAGTTGACTTTGTGGATAGTTGCATCACGCAGAACACAGGCGACGAATACTGGTGAAAATGCATGCTTAATACCAATAAAAACAGCCCACAATCACAATTCAAATAAATCAGGCTTAGCGCATCAGAAAATACTAATACCAATAAAAACAGCCCACAATCACACTTCAAATAAATCAGGCTTAGTGTGTCAGGAAATACTAATGCCAATAAAAACAGCCCACAATAACAATTCAAATGAATCAGGTTTAGCGCGCCAAAAAATACGAAGTCGAGCGGACTTTACACAGAACTTCCATGAACCAATCCATTAACTGGTTACCTTCGAGACGTACGCTCAGGTAGTCGTTAGGCGCCCAGTTTCACTGGTGGTAGTACAAATAATGCAATCCCAGGAGCACACAGCTTTTCATAAACAGAAACAGTTTGAAGTTAAGCGTGCACCTAGCAAGTACGAGAGGGTGATAACGCAGCCACTTACCAACTTTCGGTACTGTGTTTCCACCCACAGGGGGCATGAACCAGAAGAGGTTGATCAGGAAAAACACCAGTGCCACTGAGTGGATGGTGCACACCTTAATCTTGGCAGACGAGTCGGGTGGTAGCCAGAATACGACCAGTATGTGGATAGCCAGGGCTGCAACGAAATAAAATGAGCTAAGTAAATACAGCATTAATTGGAGAATCACTCGCGGTGCACCACGTCCGGTCTCCAAAGGAACAACGGAAACAAACGTGGCCATCTGAGCACCACACATGACGTGTTAGCTTTGTATGTCGCATCATGCACCATCAACATACAATCCAATCCGAATATACCACACTGTTCATGTGAGCCACCGCAGCTAGCCTATCGAGCAGAATACACGGCGAAGCTTTCAACAATCACGGAAAAGGATCCGTGCCGTCTATACTTTCTTGATTGCTTAAATGTGAAGAAGTGCACAAGAAGCTGCCCTATAGCGAGCGCACAGCTTGCAAGTCCGGTATTCAGGGTGTATCCGCAGCGCACCAAGAATGTCCTTTTCTGCAGGACGTCACGCAGAATCTTTGCCGGACGTGTTCGCAGAATGACACGTTTCCTGTTAACATCTTCGTATTTTTCGTGACAACAACTATGCATGCGAGACACTGGCGTTTAGATTTCCCACGCGCTACGCGTGCTACTTACAATGAAAACTGCAGCTTTTTTTCGTTGAAATGAATGACACAGCTTTTCATAAACCGTTGTTTATCCGCAAGTTGACCTCACACATGAACCCGCTTTTACCATTTCGGTCTCACTTTGATCAAGTAACAGAGCAAGATTCTACCCTTCTGGCAAAGATTATGCGTGACGTCACGTGAAAGCTTTGCCGTCCGGGTTACTGCGAACACCAAAAGCCGCAGGATCTTTGAGACATGACGTCATGAGTGACGTCCACGGCATATATTCTTGATCTTTCGGGTCGCTACGCACATGCCCTCAGCATCCCAACGACGTCCATACACAATCAGATGCATTCAGGAAATTGATAGCACAACTGGGTTGACACACCATCCGGCTAAAAAACGTACCATGCCTTAAAACACCTTTGCACTTCGGTACACCCTGCTATTCATGGATCACGTGCTTTTCCTCTGCACAGCAGTTAACACCTGGCAGTGTGGTATATTTCCGTAAGCAAACGCGTCAAATAATGAATATTTATCTTTGCCGAGCAGCTGGTTTGTTGCCCCCAAGGTGTCTTTCCGGACACACGAAAGGTGATTTACGAATGGGCAGTGAAATTTGTACTAACGGCTGATATATTCGCTGTGCAAATTTTGAGCCATCCCGAAGTAATGCAGGCCATTGAGTCATAACGTAAGAGGCCGTGGAAGCTCACTGAGCGGTGTTCACAAGTAGTGGTATAATTTCCTATTTAATTGGGTTGGGGGCTTGAGCCCTCCCCCCCCCCCCCCAACCCCCAACCTCGGCTCCATCCCTCCCTCAGGCTTAATATGAAAGTGGGCCAAATTCGGGGAGAAACTCGTTTGTTGGTGCATTTGAGGGCAGGTCGAGACATTTTTAACTGTCCAGTCTCTTCAACCTCCCCCCCCCCCCCCCCGACTGATTTTGGAGAACTATGCCCACATTCACTAGTACTGGTTTGGATGTTCCATAGCACAAATTACGCAGAGATTAGTCATGCAATGTGTGAGCACGCGCTTGGGTGGCTGGTGGAACACGACACGCTCGGGTAAAGGGGTCAATTTGAACTCCTCATGATGCAAGAAAGTAAGAGAACTACACATATCATGATCCTCGGGTGAACTTAGATCTAAAAAGGTACACTCGCAAAATTAGTGCCGCTGATGCCTTCAAACTTTCTCAACTAGCAAACTTCTACAGACACCTCTTCCTATGAAACTGTCAGTCAAAGTGATTGCAAATCAGTGCGTGTACTCGACCGCTTAGCTCTCGCCCTGATTCGCCGTTTCTATAATACGAACGGATGGGGGAGGGGGGCGGGGTGATGCGCCCCTGGCATTTCCACTGGCAAAAACGATGCTAGATAAACCTGGAAATAACGGGAGCGGTGTAAGGGCGCGGAATATGAGAGATGAGCACGTCTGGATGGAAAAACATCGGATAATTCTGGTCTACATATTTGTTTCATGTACACATTTTGATAGACATTTCCTGTATTGACCAGACGCGGATCCAGAATAGCTGGCCCCAACTACAACAGGGGATCTAGCGTTCTTCTGGTTTAGATTTAGGCAGATACCGAACCCCACTGTTTCGAGCAGCCGTGATGTGGTAGTGGCAGTGTTAACAAATGCCAAGCGCGGCGTGCGTTGTCTCCCGGCCGGCGATCGTTGGAGCATCGGAGTGTTAACGGTGATAGCGAAAGTATGCTCCTGAAACTGACTCCCTGTGTACACCTATGAATTATCTATTTTTTGACACGCAAAGTTAATAAACATGGACGCACTCGGTGTATCGTGAGACAGTCGTAATCCAGATACCAGAGGCTGCATAATTCCCCAACGCCGGAATTTACCAAACGTCATGTCCCATCTGGGATCGCTATAGCATATTCTCAAGTGGCAGTGACATCTTCAGAATCATCAAGGAGGACATGGGGACTACACTGGTATCTAGATCAACAGGGCGCCCGCAATACCCCACTGCCCAGCAATTCATGCAGCAAAAGAACGTGTTCAGCCTTGAGAATATGGCCTATTACCCTCCCTCTTAACACGCCACTGCATAAATGCATATGACGCAATGATTGCATGCCCGAACTCTGAAAATAAAAGCAGACTGGATGAATACAAGCTGCAAAAATCATAACGTATTTTTCTAGGCACTTGTTGATTACCTGGGAGTGCCAGTGATTTACACATGACTCTTTTGCCTTGTGTATTCGCCCATGGCAGCATTTTGTACGCTGTGTTTTACAGAAACGTGGTTCCTACCACAAGTAATGGAGTGCAGTCTTCCGAGAGGAAATAATTCGTACCGTTCTCGAAAGACGAGTTCTCTAGCTGCCCACCCCCTGCACCGCTGTTCACGCGTCACCAGGTCGGTGGTGGCCGCCGCCTCGGGGTTTCCCACTTTCCAGCTTAGACAGCCGGAAAGGCTGTGTGAAGGGCCGTTGGATTGGCGTGCGGGACGCTGTCGTATTGTACGGCCTCGTCCCATAACTGCCTGCCGCCGGCCGTTGCGGCCTCCTGGAGCCGTGCTGTATTGATGTCTGGACTTTACCAGACTGACACAAACGACAGTGTTTGCTTTTGTGCCTTCGTTACATGCTATTGGTGTTTTTGTCATTGTCGCATCTTCGTTTGTATTCAACAGCATGAAGCGCGTGGAGTCAAACCAAGCATTATGTCATAGATATTGCACACTTCGTAATAGATACCCACGATAACGACGTTGGCCGCCACTATGCATGGTTCCGCACTGGTAAGCTGAGATAACGCAGCGTAATTTAAGAACTCGTTGACAGATAGCAGCAGCACCGGTAGAAAAATGTGTGATGGTCTGTGAATACCCGCTCGTAGAACTGTGGATGCATTGCCAGACGAAGCATTTGGTTTTTCATTTTTCATGTTTAAATTCCATTTCATTCAGGCATTTCAAGCATTTGCAAGCAATACAGTCTTATCAAGAAAAAAGTTCACAATTGAAAAACGACCAGCCCCGGCCAAGCTGCAGCGGGTTGGAAAGATAAGCTAGCTTACCGCCACTTCTGCTGACGCCATTTGAATGAGCGCATTACTGAAGATCATAAAATGCGTTCGGGAAGGTAGAAAGTGGAAGTTTTCCAAAAACTGTATCTTGATTCCAAGTATTGGAACAAACAACTTTGTGGCGTTGCTGCTCGACGCGCGGTGACGGCTGAATATCCGATAATTTTTAGGGGCATGGGCCGATTGCGAATGTTGCCTGTTTGCCTCCATGTGTTTCTATATCGTAAAAAGTTAATTGTGGAAGAGTTGGGGCGGAAATTGTTTCGTGCCAACGTCCCTCCCCTCCCTTCCCTTCGTCGTTCAGCCATGACTAAACGACTACGCCGTGGGATTCATGCAGATACGCGGCTCGACATGGGTGTCACTAGAATTTGATATTAAGGGTATGCCATCGGCGTGGGAGGGAGGGGAAAGGAGGACGTACGCAATCACTTCCTTGTGAATCGTGATCGGCCGGAAAAGACGGGGGTGGTGCAAGCCTCCCGCCGCCAGTGCAGCAGCGCGGGTGTTCGGTGCGTGGATATCATTCGTGAGGGCCTCTCCTCGATTGCGTTATTGGGGGCCTCTGCGTCAGTGGGTAACCTGTGTCACGGAGGGAACAATGCATGATATATCCCTGTGAGGCCCTCAGCATGGACCTGGGAGCTCCGGCCCCCGTTTCGCCAGAATGATAGCCGTTCGGTGTCCCGAGCTGGGATGGAACGGCACTTCACCCTCTGACCTGAAACATACTGGACCACGTCGGGCATCACCCACGGGTTTGCCTGCCCCCCCCCCCCCCCCTCTCCCCTCAAAGGCTAGGGGTCTCATAACAGTTCAATCCACAGGGCGCTCAATGCACGCGCTCTGCAGGGCACATTTAGATGGAATAAATAAACGCGTATCATGGTCACCGACTTCATCTCTCGCCAGTAATTTGCCTAACCTGTCACAGGTACCTAGCGCCATCATGATCTATGCCATGTAATTCTCACGATAGGGTGTCGGCTGGGCACAATTTGGAATCGGAACAAACGCACAGGAACACTTTGTGTAAGCTGGTGTTTGCTCTCCCGTGGCGCAGTTGGTAAAGCATTAAATATCTGACCACTTAGTCGCAGGCCATGTGGGATCCGTGCGAAACACGCTCTATTATTTGTCTTGTGAGAGACAGCCAACTGGCAGTGAGCCGTGAGAAGCCCGCGCTCGGTCTGGTCTCGTCGTTCCCGCCTGCAAAGGCGACCATGGCATCACTGATCACGTTAAAATCTTTTGGCCCAAATTACCCGTTGCGCTAGAATGGCTCGAATGGCGCGGTGGCGACCAAGACCTCGTAATAAGCTGTGCTTAACGGTGATTCTGATCCCAAGCCGATCGAACAAACTGGGAGCGATATTTGAGGCCATCCTTGAACTTGGCACTGTCTCGGTGCTGCTGAAAGGCTTTGTGGTGCATGCAAACAAAAAATTTACCAAACACAATTTTTAAAGGCTCCTTCCCCACGCTGAAAACTATCCAAAGCCGCCACCAGTGTGGTCCAAAATATGCTTCTCGACGATATGACGCCCAGGAATGGCAGTTCTGGGATTTACAAGTGCTGTCATTCAATCGGGAAACTTCGGAAGTTCAAAATTTGTGGCAGGTCAGACCCACTTATCCTGCGGCCTCGCTCGAAATCATATGTGGCGTGACTTGTGGCCCAGTGGGCGCCTCAGCGTGCGAGTGCTACGTTTCCTGCATGCTCTGGGGTTTTACGCAAGAGTATGACGCGTTCGTACTTGCTATATCTTCGACCCTGTTCTTGACCTAATATTTTTCGCCTGCTTTGCAGTAAATGTATTCATGCCTGTTTATCATCATCCGAGCCAGTATTCCTGTTGTGACCTTACCAACGCAAGGGAGGATAAATGAAACGGCGTACAGCATTGACACACGGGCCACGTGCAGCTCTATGAAGAGCTCGTGCCATGTCGTGTCAGCGGCTGCGCTGTAAGTGCCGTTCACCAAGTAACCCTTGACGTCCACCGCCTTCCAGTGTGACTCTGTCTGTATCATATCGCCAGCCGTCACCAGTTTCTGAAATCGCGACAAACGCAGTCAGTGCCAACTTTTCATGCACGCCGAACACCGAGTAAGCTCCACCAGCTCCACGAGTAAACTCCACCAGCTGTCGACACACGCAGGACCATACGGCCAACCCGCACCGTTCGCGACGAGCCCCGTGTTTCGCGCGCAGCAAAAGACCGGCGTATGTAGGATTACTTTACCATCCAATACGCTATGGTGTCTGGGGCCATATATCTCTTGCATGCGTATACTCCGGTGCCTCATTTTTCGGCCGTATTCGTCATGCCCGTTCCGCGGAATTCGCAGTTTAACAATGTACGCAAAGCGGTGAGAATCATCTGTCCTCGCACAGTGGTTGTGGGGTCATCAAGAGCCCGCCAGGGCTACTAACGCTTCCGCGAAACAGCTCATCGTGCATCCAAAGATCACGATAAGGACTATGCTGTTATATAGTGCCGCATAGTTCAAACGGCATTCCTGTTTAGTTGTACGCACCATGAGCCAAACATAAAAAACAGAGTATAATCTGCATGCCATGAGCATAACATGGCATGAGCATGAGCATGCGCATGAGCATGAGCATGAGCATGAGCATGAGCATGAGCATGAGGGAGCATGACAGCACATGACACAGCACAGAGCGGGCATAAAAATGAATACACAGCATGACTTACATCTATACAGTAGAAAATTAGACCAAATTAACGATCCGGCTCATTCCGGGATCACAAGCATTTTAGGCGACCAAAGTGCGGACGCGCAAGCATCGCACATCGCAAAACGAACCAATGCACTCGCCTCGGTCCAGTTCTAAAGCACAGCGACGCTGCCGCAGACGTGTGCCACTGTACTGACGCGTTCCAGAGCGGAAGGCTGCAGGCTGCAGCTGGTCAGCGCCGCTGCCCGACTCACCCCGTCGTAAGCCGCCGGCTCCACCTGGTGGCTGTCCGTGTCGAGCGACCAAGAGGACAGGATGATTGTACAGTTCTGCTGGTCGTACGGCCAGGAGGCCAGCTCATTGAGGCAGCGCACGCGGAACGTGGAAGGCGTGACCCAGACGACCGAGCCGTGACTGCTCACCGGCACCGGCACGTGCATGAATGTGGGCTCCAGGTGCGAAACCCTGCGGGCAGATGCGGGCTGAGGGCTGTCCGCCGGGGCCTTAGCGGTTTGCTCGCAAAACTCTTTCGCCCCTCTGGCAATGGGCGCCACAAGCGAACGGCTCCAATCATGTCGGAACGGCGGGCGCGGGCTGCTGGCGTTCGGTACTGCACGAATGGTATCATCAAGACATTGGCGACGAAGAGAATGGTATCATCAAGACATTGGCGACGAAGAGATGCCAACGGGACAAATCGCCCGTGGGTGGTATGGCGGGGTCAGGGACAAATTTAAGCATTAGATGCGATTAGAGTCGGTCTTTTCATCCTGGCCCATGTTTAAACAAAAGTGACGAGTTATTTGGCAAACCAGTCAGATGACTTTCGTGATCTGCTCGACACTCAAAGGCGTTTTCACACGCGCCCGGGTGGAGGGGGGGGGGGGCAAATTTGACCCCTCGAAGGTTTTTCCGGAATGGTTTCCGAACGGCACGGCGAAGCTTTGTCAAACTTCTGCATAGCTGTAGAGAATCGAATAGCGGATCGTTTTATATCAATAAATTCAGATGTGCCTTGTACGATCGCTGATCTACGGCAGGTCAAAACCATGGATGTAACAAAGTCAATTTCTCGGGAATCGTTGCATTTGATGCAACACCGGAGTGCTAGACGAAGGCACACATCTCTGAGGCGCTTTCTTAGACAAAACAACAATTGAATTAACAAATTACATTGACCTAGGGTCAGAAATGAATGCCAAAGCAAGGTTAAAATCAACCTGTTTTATCGCTCTAGCGCTTACTGTATGGAGTAGTTTCTGGTGCTTCTTTCGAATCTATGATAACATGAACCGCATAATGCATCTTCCATGAACTTCTTAAAGGTCGGAAAAGGTCACTGACCTAAGAAGACCCAGCTGAACATTTGGTTTTCACGAACATATTGCCTAATCTAATGTGTGTTACTTATTCAAATGCAATGCAAACTCTAAGCAGTTGTGTACGGTTTTGGTCATCATGGCCTCTGAAAAGTCAGAAAAGGTCACTGACCTCAAATGAGCCTGTGACCTTTTCTTAGAACAGGCATCTATGTTCTGGGGGCGCTTTGCACACCAACCTTGAGTTTGACCTTGTTTCATCTTGACTCGAAGGCCATGATCTAGGAACCTCAAACTTTGACCCAAGTGAATCATTGTATAGGTCAACGTACTCTGTGAATTTGGTGTCACTAACCCTCTTAGTTGCTGAGATCTCAGAGGGGTCAAATTGCCAACCAGCTACCTGGACGCGTGTTAAAGATTGTATTCCCCTACCGACGATGTGTGAACCCCATGGAACATGGACAACGGTTCCAAGTCGTTGGCTGTTGGGCTCGGACGTTATTTTGTACTTTCGTCTGTTGGGTCTTGTATTATGTTTTTGTATGTGTATATACCAAAAGCGTTCTGCAATCAAGGTGTTGTGAAGTGCATAACACTTTATTTTGGGTCAGAACCTAACGGCGACTGAGGTGATTTTGTGCAACTGTGAAAATAGCAGGCCCTCGAAAGGTACTAATTTCATATATTTTCATGAAGTTTATAAATTTGCTATGCCTGGATGTATTCGTCCGCAATCTCATTTAATGCCATTCACGCTCATCACGAAGGGCACATACGAAGCCAACATCACGCGTGGACGTGCTGGCTTGTACAAAACCACACACCATACAGCAGTAACACACAGAGCGGCGTGGCGTTGCGTAACACCCTTTCTCACCCATTGATGAGCACAATGTCGGGCAGCCAGATCTGCTGGCTGGTCATCATCACGACGTATACATCGCCGTGGTCGCTCGGCTGCCACGCCAGCCTTGGGTCACGCCAATTCTGCAACAGCGCCCGGTGCAGGTGCACGGTCACTGGTGTCGGCGCTGTTGAGACACGGCATCCGCTCAATCGGCTGGTTCGGGCTCTGTCCGCTAACAAACTAGCAACCGCCTGGGTGAGCGCTCCGGCTGCACAATGCCCCAGATTCGGGAAAGATGCTGCTCGCCTAAGGCGATGTCACGAAACTGCTTGGAGGTACGGGACCTGGCTTCTGAGTTTCACGCAAAAATCACGGGAACAAGAAGGAAAAACTCGGCAGGCATGCAAGAAATACGCCGCTACGCATCATATTGCGCACGCCCGCACGCAAAACGTATGTAACAATACAGACAGTGATGCTACTGGATTACAGACCCTGAAATCGGCGCATCAGAACGCCAGCTGATTACTGTAAGTCGGCAAGGCCAGCGCCGTCGTCCCGAACGGGAATGTCATCATCGGCAAGAACGCCATCGTCTGGCCAGCGACATCGTCCCGCAGGGGAACGCTCGCCGAACTAGCAACACATTAGTGTTAATCTGCAGATGTACGGAATGCCACGATTTGCGGAAACCTGGATGTAGAACAGGCTTGGTGTACAGATTCTAATAAAAACCATTTTTGAAACGTTATTGGCATACACAGCCTTTCGAGTCATGGTACATGGATTAATCGACTCCCATACTTGCCTAAAGCTCGCTGATTAAGTGGATCTTCACGTGCTGGGCAGGCAAAAACAGAAACCAACATAATGGTAGCAGCGGCAATGAACACGTCTGGAGAAACTGTGGTTTAAAGGGGGCGTTCAGATTCTTCACGAAAAACTTGTTATATCAGCACAACCGGCGGAGCACAGCACAAGCGACAAATATGCACAGCATAGCTGGCAATGTTTAAACGCACGGGAAAAGGAAGCAGGCTGCTGCAAAATTGGCCCATATGGTTACAATCGCGTCAAAAACAGCACTGACAAATACAAATTAGGACTTTTCCACATTATTAAAATTCTCACTCCTAGCTAAATCAGATGCGTCTAGATCAGATCGAAACGGCCCACAATTTATATTTAACGTAGCCGCTCTGACGGGAGAAATGTCAATGGACTTCCTGTTCACTACTATAAATAAAGCTATACTTTCCATTTCCTTGAATTTTTAAAACGCGTGTGTTATGAGATGTTCTCACAACATCAATAGGCCAAGATGCCGGCACAATTTACTGCACGAGAGTTTAATACCCTTTATTCAGGGTACCAATATCCACATGTGACGTCATTATCACGCGAAATCAACGAATATCCCACATGACTTGGGTTTCTCCCGTATGAACATATGTCTTTTAGAACAGCTATTCTTTTCCAGGGGTTCTTTGAAATTGGAAAGCATTTGATAACTCAGGTGTTCAGTTTGCTGCAAGGCTGTGTTTGAAAGCAGATATATATAATCAACATATCACGCGGTTTCGTGATGCACATGCACGCACACACGCACACAACTTCGGCTAAGGCATGTCTCGCTAAACGCTCACGCTGTCCGCTGTGCCAATGACAAGCGTTCATGTGTACCAACGTCATTCACACCCCACCCATACGAAAATGCAATATATACATCCCTCTGCAATCAATGGTGGCTGGAAGTACTACCCAATGTAAATGAATGCCACAACATGGTCCCATCCGGGAGACACCAGCTTTGCCTGATGCTATGTGGCAGCAACAATCTGGAGCTACGTCTTAGAAGGGAGGGACTAAGAAGAATTGAGGTACGTTAAAAACAAAGCTACGGAAAATGAACCTGTGGACCCAATGGACTCAAACTGCGAATGTTGCGTGGAAAGATGCGGAAGGTCGTGCATCATGTGAAAAATATGACCGGAGGGAAAGCCCAGCAATAACGTTAGAGGACATGCTTTCTTTGCCTCCCGATTGCTACTTTCACACAAAGTGACTATGAGGAAATGGTGGAATAAGGGAAAATAAGAAAGTGCACTTTGGGGTTATGTTTTGGATAAAAGGAACAGCATTTTTCTTGATCCGTGAATAATTCTGAAAAAAATCGTTCTGGGAGCAAACCATGAGATTTTGGGACACTTCGCACATTTCGCGGATATTGAAGAATTTTAAAAGGAAGACCAAATATTTCGACCAAAGTAGGCAGAAACAGGAAAAATTACCGCTATCATTTTCTTAGCACGCCGTTGGCAATTTTGCATGTTACACCCATTGTTTAGTCGGTTGTAACTATGAAAACGAGTAGAGCAGTGTGAATGCTGAAAGCAAAACCAGGATACGTAATTAATAGTTCATAAACAGACCGATTTCTTGGTTAAAAGAGCAGGATTACTTTCTGCAACCACAAAAAAAAATGCAGCGCGCACAGTCTTGAACCAGGAGCCCAATCGGTGTACTTCTACAGATAACTTATTTTTTGGAACTCAGCAAGGCCCCAGTCTCCCAGTTCTCAGTCCCCACGCTCATGGCTCCAGTGCATTGATGATCATCTGGCACAATGCGCTAGCCAGTGAGCCATGCTGGCCTACTGTAATGGTGAAACAAATTGAATGTAACCAAATGACCACAATCAATTGAGCAAACCGTTCTGAAGTTTGCTACGATGACAGCAGCACAGCGTGACAATTCTCTGAATTCATAAACCCATGTCAGAATGCTTCTGGTTTATAATTAAATCGGCTGCACTTGTTCAGTTTTCACTAGCGGGCTTAGAGAAAAACGCGGGGTAGAAACGGTTATGGAACGTTGTATTGGTACCAACAAGATATAAGGGGTGCAAAAAAACTTGCAAAGCAAAGTGAGCGCTTTGCTGTTCGCCATGAATGGTTCATAGTCGTATCAAATCACAAACATTGATTGTTGTCCTTGACCAGATGCTGCAACACTGGGTGCTGACGTTCTGCTAAATCTGTTGTATATGATTATGCAAACTGTACTACTATATATATTTAATGCCGTGCAGTGTGTACTATACATGCAATCTGCAATGTGTACTATATATGCACACGCTTCTTGGTGAAGAGAGAACCATTGTTTGCCTTAAAATGTGAGGCACCCACGATTTTCGTGAAAATCGGCTATGGCATTCTGAGCAGGACATTGTGGACATCCTGCGAAATTTCTTCGCACTTCCCAATCTCCATGCCCCAGGCTCAAGTGTATAGATAATCATCCAGCACAATGTATGACCCGATGATCCATACTGGCATACTGTGCCAGCAAAACAAAATGCAAAAAGCAAAAACAAAACTGGTACATTTAATGATGACAACAGTACAACATAATGTTGTGCATTGTTATACTCATGTCTAAAAATATGTCTTGTTCTTTAAGGGTTCAGCTGAACATGTCCAGCCTTCCAATCGCACCCCTCAGCAAAAACACGGCAGAAAAGGCACTGAGCATGTTATAGCTACTAACCTGATATCAGTCCTGTGAAGCAGGCCATTGTTTTGCTTCACTGCTTTATTGCTATGAAGGATCCATAATGAAATTTAATCCCAGCCTGTGATCGTTATCTTGGAGCATATGTTTCAATCCTCGTCCTGATTCACCGTTTCTTTTTTACGACACGAACTGACAAGGGGGGGGGGAGTGGGCGTCGATGTGACCCCCTGCTGCTTCCGAACCTAGCCTAGCGAACGCGCCTGTCTAAACGAGACCTCACGATTGTTAATAATTCAGTCGCGGCCATGATGTTTTTTGAATTTCCATGAACAATGTAATCCTGCTTCGCAAAAGCGACTGCCGAAAGCTGCAGCGTGATGTACTTGAATATTCAAAGACGATGTAGCCGCCTTCAGCTACGGAAAAAGCATAGCGACTTGCATACCGGTCGCTGGCAATAACATGTTGGCGGTAATGACGGTGATGACCGCAGGCACCACCGGTAGATGAAGGGAGCGCCGGCCGCCGGGCGGCTGCTGCAGGGTGGTTTGACGACCCGGAGGCGGCCACACGGCGTTGGCAGATCAATGCCGTCGTTTGACATTGCGCCAGTGACGCGCGGAACGGAGTTGAAGGCCGCTTCTCGCGCTACCTTTCAAAGACCTTCCCTTATCCACTGTTGGCACGTATCTGGGCACGGCGTGGTTCCGTCCTTCCGAAAGTCATGCTGCCGTTGCGCTTCGAGCTTTGGCACAGCATGCCGCCCGCTGGGAAGCCCGCACCCGGTTACGAACGGTCGGCAATCTGCCCCGTAGTCACCTTTGTCTGGCGTTAAAGGTGTCTGGCTCTGTGCTGGGCCACGGCGCGTCCCTTCCCTGACGCTAACGATCATGAGAAACATCCCGCTGTGTCTGCCTCAAAACACGAACTGTCGCGCTGGATGACAAAAGGCAAAACTCTAGCATTCAGTTTTGACCCCGGAGCATGCGGGCCCTTACGCGGGGGAGTTCATACGCGCTGGAAGGTACTGATAGCGGGACCAGCACAGGGTGAAGGCGGCCTAGAACTTTTCAGAACGCACAGGTTCCTGCGCTGACCCAGAGTGGGGTCAGTGTGCTTGAAATGCGGCCAAAACGATTCACTGACGTAGCTCCCATGAGGCCCCTGGCTACCACTGATACAGCGACGACCACGACACACGACCACACACACAGGCCCATGGCTACGACCGCGACAGCGACCACGACCACGACACATTTTAACGACGCCCCAGCATGCGGTCCTTCCCCTCCATCCGGCATAAATCTCGGCCGTTGATTTCTAGTCATGCCTCTGGAAGCGGCGCAGCACTTACGAGTTTCCGGGAGTTAGTAACGCAAATGTCTTTCTCACTCGTTCAGCTGCAACCTTCTTCGTCAATTGCAGCAGGGCATAACTAGTGCCAAACGAAAACGATCCGAGCTAGACCTGTAGCCAGCCTCGAACCAGCGCACGGTCACAGGACTCGTCAGGAGTCCACAGCCACGACTCGGCGCACGGCCACAGGACTCGTCAGGAATCCACAACCAGGACTCGGCGCATGGTCACAGGACTCGTCAGGAGTCCATCACCAGGGCTCGGCGCA